TAACATGATGGATAAATATAAATAAAATGAAAAAAAAATATGCGTAATTTGCGTGGCTCAATAAAATGTTTACATCTACGATGAGGGGTAATAAAATCTATTAAATAAAAATATTAAAATTTACAATTCTAATATTTAAAAATAGATACAAAAAAAATTATAAGACACAAAATTTATATTATACTTTTCATTCTCATCATCCAATAATTTGTTTATGTAATGTGCTTTATCTTGTGTTTGGCCTTCTACATCTAACAAATCTTTAAATAATATAAACATTTCAATAGTATGAACTTTCATTTTGGTCCTACCAAAAATATCTTAGCTATTTTTGGATAATTTATTTTTTAATGAGTTTTTTTCTAGTAATATAGTTTTAAAGTTTTTTTTTTAATAAAAAGTAACATATCATATAATTTATATTCAAAATGAATAGAAAGAATTATAAATTTATCCAGCAATAATTCAAATATTTCATAAATAGATTTATTTAATATAATTTTATTTTTATAAATTAACAAAAAACTCTAAAAAGTAAATATAATTTAATTACAAGATAAAAAAAAAAACCATGACTACAACTCATTTGGATTTGTGTATTGTGTTGTGTTGGCCCATATATCATTTGAGCTTGTGAGCCGTGCTTTGCTAGCCCATGCCATATGTTAACACTGGCTTTTAATAGGTTATGTCGTAACAACCCATGAATTTAAAATCTTTTAGTCTAAAATGGCATATATATATATATATATATGTATGTGTGTGTATGTGTCATGCTTGGTCTAATCCAATTATTTAATAATAAATTGTTTCAAGCATAACTCACATCATGCTAATCTGTGTCGTGCCGTGCCATAGACAACTTAGTTGACACTTTTACAAGAGATATTTTAATTTATTTTATTGAAACAATACTACTTTTATATTTATATAGGTAGAATTTTTTTGATATCTAAACATACAAAATCAGGTATTAGAGGATAAATGTGTAAATGATACATTAGTACTCATAAGTTACTCAAATTTAACTTGAATTAAACTTAAATTTGGCTCGATTATTATCAAGTCAAGCTCGAGTTTGAGCAGTTCAACTCATCAATTGAATCGAGTTCGAGCATTCTTATACTTGATTCAAGTAGCTCGCGAGTCTAATCGAGTTTTTATTTTTTAACATATTTTTATTATTAATAAAATATTTCAAACTCGAGCTCAAGTTCGAGCACAAATAATCAAACTTTTATTGAATATAAGAATCAAGCTTATTTTTACATGTTAATTAAGTCTAATCAATTGAGCTTAAGTAACTTGATTTTTATTTTGAGTTGAATTTGAACTAAAAAAATAAAATTCAATCGAATTCAAACTGAATTTCGAGTTTCAAATTCAAATTGTGTTTAAGTTCGAGCTTAATGTTGTATATACTCGAATTCGATCGATTACACCTCCATTAGAAGATGACAGTAGCTAAAAAGCTTTGGATGAGGAAGATGAAGATGAAGTCATGAAAGCTACATAGACAAATGCTAGAAATGATAAAGGTGACATAGAAGAAAGAGAAAGGGTTGTTGGGGACATTAATGAAAAAATAACTAAAATAATAAAAAAAAGATATTGGGAAGAGAATAAGCTTAAGAGAAAGAGAAACCATCGTAATGAATGAAACGAGGTCAAATGAGATTAGAGGCGAAATTAGAGAACAAGTTTTAGGTCTGATTTGTTATAAAACTTGTCGTAACAATTTTAGAGCCACATGACAAATTTGAAAATAAAAAATGAATAAAACGAAAAAAAAGAAAAACGAAGTCACCATCAATCTTTTTTTGGTTAAGTGCGATTGGTCACCTATTAAAATATATCATTTTAATGAAAATTTAAAATTAATTAAAATTTATTAAAAAAATAATTTTAAGGTCTATAAAACAATCTAGGTCCGGAAGACGATTACGCGTGGGAAAGGATTAGCACCCTCACAGTGCGCGTTTAAAATAATACCAATTAACTACGTGTTATCATTAATTTTGATAAAAATAGTCTTATTTCGATGTTTAAAAAAATAATTTCCTTCTCTAACGTTTTTTTTATATTTTTTATTATTTTATAAGGTTTATTTTAAACTTAACAAAATTATCAAAAATTCTAACAATATATTTTATTATTTATTTATTGTTTTTATTTTTATTATTATAAAAATAATCAAATATTTATTCTAACAGATTTAAAATTTTGTCAAGTAAAAATATAAATAATAAAACTTAAAATAACAAAATAAATTAAAAAATTAAAACAAAATACCTGAACCAGATCGGTTAACAGTTTGATCAACACTGGTTTGAATGGTCTGGTTGGTTCGACAGTTCGATGGTTCAGAGCAAGTTTTTGACTATTCAATATCAATTCAACTAGACCGGTATTAAACTGAGGGAAAATGGGTCTCCGGGTCGAGTGTGAAGACTTCGGGTTGAGTCAGAGGCAACACACGAATCTTTCAATATTCAAAACGACATCGTTTTGACCCCTAGCCCCAAACGATGTCATTTTAAGGCTTAGCTTTCTATATCAAAATCAAAATTTTTTTCAGCTCATTTCCTCCCTTTTCCTAAAAAAAAAAAAAAAAAACTCTATCCCCTTTCTTTTTTTTTTTTTTTAGACAAACCAGGGACCAATGGCCGTCCATCATGATGGCCACCATGTTCCTCGCCACCAAGGAGTGTTGACTGCTGTGCTAGTAATTGAAAAAGCCCAAAACTCACCCACAAATTCTTATCACCTCCCTCTTTCCAAATCTAACTTCTCTTTTATTAAAAAAGGTCCCAAACGGCCTAAATCGGCTTTCAAAGTTTCAGCTAAACCCTTTTTTTGGTTTTTTGGCTTGTATTTTTTCTTTTTTTTTTTTGTGCTTTTGTATTTTGCTTGGTGATGCTGGGTTCCTTGTTCCCAATGGACTATGTTGTTTGGTTTTGGTTTTCCCTTTTTTTAAACAATGAGTTTTCTAAAATTTTCTAGCAAAGTTTTTTTTTATGGTTTATTTTTATTTTTCTTATAGGGTATTTGGGGCTATGGGTGTGTGGCTAGGTCTTTTCTAAGGTTCCTTCTGGGTTTTTTAGTTTGATAAGATCTCTTTCCTAGGTTTCTCCTTTTTGGTTTGTTGCTATAGAGCTTTATTTATAGAGCTCTGGTCATGATCCTATGCTTGGATAGGTGGTATCCAAGGCATAAGTTTGGCTGTTAAATAAGAGTATTGGTGAATTTGGGTCAAGGTGCAAGGAATAGGTACTATAAGGCTATGGGTCGTCTAGTGGTGCTACAGTAGAGGTGCAGGGTATGGATAGGTGATTGTTAAGGGCATGGTGCACGGGTCTCAGGAAGTTTAGGCGTTGGTGGTAGTGAAGTGCATAAGGCTTCGGGTGCAAGGAGTGGACAGGGGCTAGCAGTAGTGCCGTGCACGACACCCATTGCCTCTAGCCCTTTTGTTTTTTCATTTTTGTTTTTTAGCCTTTGTTTGTTTTTTGTTTTTGTATTCTACTATTGTTATTATTACTTAATATTAACGTATTTTAAAATTTAAAATACAATAAAAGTAAAAATAAAAGGCTAAGCTTGAGCTTAAAAATTGATACTGGGCTTTGGGCTCGAATGAATCGAAATTGAATTTCGAACAAATTGAATCGAAATAGGGTCTCAACCTGACAACTTTATATCCGGCAAATATTAAATCGAGACCCGATTAAAATCTTAGACAAATTTGATGTCTACGAAACTGGTAAAAATAAATTTTAATATTTTGTGTTAAAATCACTGTATATTTGACTGAGTATCTTAGACTGAACCAATATGCAATTCACTGCCTAATAAAGGTTCAACAAATTTATGTCTTTGTGCTTGGCTATGAAGTTAATATTGCAAGTTTTCAAACACTAGTATCTGTTGTTAGAAGATTAAACTTTTAATTTCAATAATGATTGGGTTTAATATCTGATAATCTCAAATATATAAAAATATATATTATTTAACTCTCTTATTATTATATTTGTTAATAATATATATATATATATATATTCTGTAGGAAATTTTCCCTTGGTTGTTTTGGTCGTGATTGGAAGTTGTGGTTCGACAACTGGAGTGGGCTTTTATTGGCCAGTGAAGACGACTATTATGGCACCAGGAGGCATTTTGTCCTGGCTTCGGCATGTTATCTTGCTTGAATTTTAATAGCCTTCAATTTTCACGAACTTTATATTAACAAATCCAAGGAAAACATGGTTGTTTTTTTTTTTTTTTCAAATTTCAATAAAAAATTTCAATTTTATTTATATATATATATATATATATATATATAGCAGGAAAACATGGTTGGGGCATTTATTGAATGATGGGAACAAATCCGAGGAAAACATGATTGCTTTTTTTATTGTTTTCTTATTTGGATAAAAATTATCAATTTTTTTTTTTTTTTATATAAAGCAGGAAAACATGGTTAGGGCATTTATTGAAGGATTTGGGATATGACTCCGACTTTTCGAATTGGAAGTATACGTAAAATCTTTATTGAGCCAAATATTTATGCATGCGTCCAAGGATTATTATGATTTTAATAATTAAATTGATTAACTATATATTGACAATTAATAAAAATAATATCTATACACAAATTAAATTTAATCAATAGCTAATTAAGGAAAAGTGAAAATTTCCATCATGTAACAAGAATATTAATGTCTACTTAAAAAAAGTATTAATAAACCAATGTGAATTATTTCAAAATTTGCCATCTATTTAACAATTTCATCAAGTTAGGTTTCAATTTTCAATTTTTATTTGAATCACTTACTGTTGGTTGGTAGGTCCATTTTCGTTCTATATGTCCAAACACACAAACAACCTTTTTGTTTTGGCATATTAGATTTGAAAATGATCAGCCATATCATACTTTTATTTTTTTTCTTTTGATGAGAGTCATGCTGTTATTTATTTATTGTAATGTGATTGGAGAGAACTTTTTAAAAAAGGACCATATTATTCACGGCCATCTTGACCTCTCAAGGTCAAGGTCCCTTCTCTTCTTAAATTGAAGGGAAAATTAAAGCAGCTTCATCAATGACATTATTTCATGTGCTTATTCTCTCGTTTTGGTTTCTGAAAATTTAGTGAAGCACGACATGGCTTTGAAGATGTCAGATGAATTGCTGGGTATTGTCATGCCTATTCTTGTGTACTGGATTTATTCTGGGATATACATGGCATTGGAGTCGACCAAGTCGTTTGACAATTATAAATTGCATTCGAAAGAAGATGAGGATGACAATAATCTGGTCTCCAAAACAACAGTTATCAAAGGCGTTCTTCTTACTCAAACTCTTCAGGCTGTTGGGGCCTTCCTTTTGTTTACGGTATGAGTAGTGAACTTCATATAATAATTAAATTGTTGGCTCTTGGTAACCTTAGAGAGACTCAGGGGAGAAAGAATTTAGAATCTCAGTTAAAAATTTGCCTCAATTATTTGAACCATGGAGCGAACCTTTTTTATAAGAGTAATAATTAAGATCTTTGTCATTAATGGAAGTTAGAACATTCTTTATTGTCTGTATAGTTTTCATTTGATGTGTAGTTAGTTTGTACACTTCTACCTGATGCAGGTTCTTCTGCCTTGTTTTTTTATAAATAAAATTATTATTTATCCAAAAAAAGGAGTTATGGTATTATATTTATATATACCAATTAAGCAATAAAGACATACAATAAACTTAAAAATAAACAATTACAATGTACCTTTTTTTCGATAAATTATTCTTAGGATATATTTTCTTGTTTCCTCCATTTTCGCGTGAACAATTTTTTAACAGACAAGTAGGTTGAATAACTAGCTATATATAAATCAGCCGGCCATCAAAAAATTATAAATAGGATAGAAAATTTTTGTTAGGTACTGATCTAGTTAATGGGTTTGGTGGGAATAAAGAGATTAATTATTGAAATTAGGGTAGATATTTTAATTAATCAAGTACAATTTCAATCAACCATTTTGTTCTCATCTCTATTATATCTTTTTCTTTCAAGATATTATTTTAATTTTTTTTACAATTTTTTTATATTATAAGTGAATAGTTCTCAAAAAATTGTATAGATCCACCTCTACATAAAAATCTGCTTTATTTTAAATGGAGAATTATGGTTTTTATTACTTGGTGCAGGTGACAAGAGGAAATGAGGCTGAGACATCTCCAAGGGAACCATCTTCCCTTATTATTATAGCTACACAATTCGTTATAGCGATGTTGGTTTTCGATACTTGGACATATTTCACGCCTAGATACATGCACCAAAACAAGTTTTTATATCGGCACCTTCATTCTTGGCATCATCAGCTTGTTGTTTCCTATGCATTTGGAGTTCAGTACACTCATCCACTAGAGGGACTTTTGGTCGACACCGTGGGTGGAGCACTAGCCTTTATCGTCTCCGGCATGTCTCCTCGGACTTCCATCTTTTTCTTCTTGTTTGTAAGCCTCAAAATAGTGGATGATCACTGCGGGTTGAGGCTTCCTGGAAACCTCATTCAGATATTCTTTAAAAATAATTCTGCATACCATGATGTCCACCATCAACTTTATGGTGGCAAATACAACTTCTCGCAACCATCTTTTATCATGGGGGATAGAATTCTAGGCACGTACATGCCTTATTCACTTGAGAAAAGAGCCGAAGGGGCTTTTGAAGTACGAGCAGCGGCTGGTATAAAAGAGTACAATAAGGATGGTTGATTAGTAAATCATGAGCATTGATCCTTTAGTTTCTATGTACTTCTGTGCTTCATTGGAAACAAATAAATTAGAAGACTAAATCTGCTCTTGCAGTGTAATATATATATATATATATATATATATAATGAATGTTGATATTGTTATGTAAAATAGTTAAACTAATTATCACTTATGTATTTCAATTGGTTTGAAGATAAATTTTATCATTAGTAACAACGATTTTTTTTTTCATCCTTGGTATTTTGAATTAATTTGCTTCAAATTCACACATTTATCAATATACCATTAAAATGAGGAAGGGATTTACTATGTTTTTATTCATCGAAGTACAACATTCCCTCCAAAATTTAAGGAAGATTTATATTTTGCTTACACCAAAAAAATTTCAATTCAAATCTTAAAATTTACAATTCATTTTTTTATCATCAGATTGTGACATTTTGTGTAAAAAAATAAGTAGATATATATATATATGTTTATCTTGATTGTTTTTAAGATATAGCGATGGACCTTATATTATTTATCGATGTTGCCTTCTTTCCTAGATTGGTCTCATAATGAAGGACCTTATATTAATTAATTCATGGGTGCTGTGTTTGATGTGTAACTAAAGATGCAATTTTAGGATATAATGGAAACCATCCTTGTTTATTTAGGAGAAAGTTTATCCAACTACAAGAAAAAATTAAAGTTTATCCGCCAAAAAGAAAAAATTAAGAGAGTTAGAATTGAAGTATATTTCACTATTTTAATTCTATGAGAAACAGATATAGTAACAACTAACAACTAATAATTGGTTATTATTATATTGCCATAATCTTAATTTATTGGCTTAGGAAAAAAAACAAAACTGAGTACTTCTACATATTGTGATTGGAGAAACGTCTTTAAAAGACCAACATTTCCATTGCTGCTATTTGACCCTTTCTTCCAAGATCTCTTTTCCATAGAGTTCGAAGTAGTGCAATTAAGTTCATAATTTTCATGGATTTGGCAATATCAAATGATGAATTCATGGGCATTTTCGTGCCAATTCTGGTCTATTGGATATACTCAGGGATGTATGTGATCTTAGAGTCTTTTGAGAAATACAAGTTGCATTCCAAGAAAGAAGAGGAGGAGAAGAATTTGGTGTCCAGAAAAACGGTCATCATGGGTGTTCTTCTCCAGCAAACCTTTCAGGCTATTGTCTTCTTCCTCTTGTTTAAGGTATGAGTACTACGTTAACTTTTAACGTTTAACCTTTTTAATCTTTTGAAACCTTCACTTTCAAACCTTCACTAGCATATATACATATGCATGATGTGCCCACCACTAAAATTGGCTCCTGAATAATAATTTATTATATACAAAATTACGATTTTGTCTGTGATTTAGATCATCTTACACTTCTTGTAGGCGACAGGAGGAAATGATGCTGGGGAGGATTCTGCTGTGCAACCATCTTCCTTTATTGTTATAGCTAGACAACTTGTTGTAGCTATGCTGTTTTTGGATACTTACCAATATTTCACACACAGATACATGCACCACAACAAAATCCTATATCGACACTTCCATTCTCATCATCACCGGCTTGTTATACCCTATGCATTTGGAGCTTTCTACAGTCACCAAGTTGATGGGCTTCTCTTTGACACCATCGGGGGAGCCTTATCGGCTTTTCTGTCTGGCATGTCTCCCCGAACTTCCTGCTATTTCTCCTGCTTTGCCACTATCAAAGCAATAGATGACCATTGTGGAATGTTGCTACCTGGAAACCCCTTTCATATATTTTTTTGGAACAATACTGCATTCCATTATATCCACCATCAGCTTCATAGCGCCAAATACAACTTCTCACAACCTTTCTTCATTATGTGGGATAGAATTATGGGAACCTATATGCCTTATTCGCTTGAAAAAAGAGCAGAAGGGGGCTTCGAAGTACGGCCTATAAAAGAGAGCAAGGATGATTGATTAATTAGTACCATTCACTATATAGTTGTAGGCTTCATTTGAGTATGTACAATAAATCGTGAAAGTAAATTTGGGTTTGAATTGTCATATAAATAACGAGAACAAATGATGATATTATGTAAAAATTACAGCCCAAAAGGGTCCAAATGTTGTTCTAATGGATGAGTTTTAAAAAATTTACTCTTCAAATTGAGATTTAACAATATCTAAATCTTTGAGTGTATTATAAAAGAGTTTAAATTATATCAGAATTATCTTAAAAAGTATATTTTAGGCACTAATAAATTCAAGGGCAATTAAAGACTTTTTTTTTTTTTTAAAGAGAAGATAATTATTATAATGTAAGAATCCTTTATTTTTTACGACTAAAAGTTAAGGTCTTAATTCATGAAGAAGAAATTAAGCAATAAGAACTTGGCTTATCTTAAACTAAATGGTCACGTGATAAGCCCATGCCTAGGCATATGTTTTGGATGGCCTTGATCTAGCCACATCATCATTTTTAATGGTCAAGATTTTGGCAACCTAAGTATTTCTTATTATTAACAACAAATAAGAAACCCAAGAACAGTGATAACAACAAGAGTCTCAACTTTCACAAAACCTCGAAAACCAATAATAATAATAAATCAAAAATAAAAAAAACTGACCCGAAAACCTATATTACTTAGGAATTTGAACTTGCTCCAAAAAATAAATGCACCTAGCTCTTTGCACTGGACCAAAGCACCACCAGGCTTCAATGTCAGCATGATATAGCATCAACTGCGAAAGAAATTTGTTGAGTTAATGGCTATAAAAACTGCTTTGCAAGTGCTCTCTATGTCAAAGTGGGGGAAAAACATTTGTTGCTGAATCCGATTTTAAAGTGACTATTTCATGAGCATATCATATGAATTCCAGATCGTGAAATTGATTGATTGAGAAGCTTCATTTGGTAGGGTGGATCTTGCTCATATTTAAACGGGGCAAACTCATTTGCAAATTCATTGGTAAAATTTAGTTTGGACTTTGGATAGATGTTTGGTTATAGTCAATTGTGCAATATATTATGATAATAAATTTTAAAGAACAATAATTAATTATATTTTGATTATTCTCCAATAATTTCATAATTAATATGACATTATCCTGATTGTTTAAAAATTTTAATTCAAATCTCTTTTTCCTTTGCTTCCGAATCAGATTCTGTCACTTATCAGATCGAATATATGGCCTTGCTTTTTAAATTATTTTATTTGTCAAAAAAGCCAATAATGGAATCCACTAAAACTTGGTATGTTGCTCGCTAATTTCTGAACAATTTGTTCTTTCCTGCTTTTTTTTTTTTTCCTTCGTAACAAGGAATCGAGAGTTTTTATTTTCTTATTCCATGTTCCACTTAACATTTTAAACACTTCAGCCACTATCAAGTATCGACTATAAGTTGAGTGTTATATGCAGTGATTGGATAAGTGGCTTTAGAAGAAATTAAGACCACATTAATTCCATTTCTAATCTTAAATTTGACCCTTCAAAGGGCAATTAAGTTCAAAATTGTCATGGCTTTGGCAACATCGGAGGAATTGCAGGCCATTCTCGTGCCAATTGTTGTTTATTGGACATACTCAGGGATGTATGTCATCTTAGAGTCGTGGTGTGAGAATTACAAGTTGCATTCCAAGCAAGAAGAGGAGGAGAAGAATTTGGTGTCCAGAAAGACAGTCATCAAAGGCGTTCTTCTCCATCAAACCATTCAAGCGACTCTGAATTTCCTCGTGTTAATGGTATGAGTAATTGATCATGAAATTTATGTCAATAATAAAGAAAGAGTCATAAATTTTTATAAGGTCTCAAGTTTAAGTTTTTTCAGAGTTCAAGCACAACTAGTCTTAATTTTGTGTCAAATTTTCTCTAACGATGTGCTTGTTTCTTTATTTATTTTATTTATTTTAAAACTAATTACTTTAAAAATCTTCTGTAATTTACTGTACAATGAATTTTACATTTACTTTTTTTTCAGAATTACGACTTTGTTTTGTGATTTAAAACCTAACTTCTTGCAGGTGACAGGAGGAAATGATGCTGAGGCATCTCCAAGGCAGCCATCATCCCTTATTATTATAGCTAAGCAATTAGTTATAGCTATGGTGTTTATAGATACTTGGTCATATTTTATCCATAGGTACTTGCATTACAACAAGTTCTTATATCGACACCTTCATGCTCCACACCACCGGATTGTTGTTTCCTATGCATTTGGAGCTCAGTATATGCACCCACTCGAGGGGATCTTGGACACCATGGGCGGGTCATTATCTATAATCGTCTCCGGTATGTCTCCTCGAACTTCGATGTTTTTCTTCTCTTTTGCCCTCATTAAATTAGTGGATGACCATTGCGGGATGAGGCTTCCTGGAAACCCCTTTTACATCTTCTTTAAGAATAATTCGGCATACCATGATATCCATCATCAGCTTTATGGTGCCAAATACAACTTCTCAGTGTACTTCGTCACATGGGATAAAATTCTAGGAACGTATATGCCTTATTCACTTGAGAAGAAAGCCGAAGGAGGCTTTGAAGTACGACGTGCTGATCAAGAGCACAAGGATGATTGAGTAACTAGTAAGTTATGATAGGCATGGACCGATCAATTGGTTTTTATATATGAATACTTATATGCTTCATTCGGAATAAAGCAATAGGAAGGGTCCATGATCTGTATTTTATCTATCGTATATACAGTGAAAATAAATGATGATACTGGGATGGTCTTTTCACCTAAATTGGTGTCGTAAATAATGTTTTGAGTGAGGTTGTATGCTGTTTTTTTGGTTATGGTTGTATGTTGTTTAAAAGGTATTCTGGATTGGTGTGATTGGAGTTCTTTTTTTGTAATCTTTTTGTTTAATATTTATGGGTATTGTATGTTGATCCAATGTTTTTTGCTTTTTGTGTATTTTTAGGCGATTTTTCGGATTGTTTGGTATTATAGCCTATCATTTTTTTTATGTTACTTTATAACGTTTTGGTTATTTCATAAAATTTCTTGGCTTAAAAATAAAAATGATGCTTGTCTTGCTTAAAATTTTTTCTTATAGTGAGCTTCAAATTTGAAGGACATTATATTAATTAATTCAAGGGTGAGGTTGATGTAAAAAAAAAAAAAAAAAAAACTTTGTTAGAAAATTTGAGAATAAAGAGACGAAAGAAGAAATTCATTTGAGCTACAAAAAAATTTTCTTAAAGATTATTATGTCATTAAAATATAATAAAATATAATAACACTTCAAAATTTATAAAAAAAATTTATAAAAAATTATATATATGATGAAAATGAATGTATAAAAAATTATATATATATATGATGAAAAAGTATAATTTATCATTAACATATAATTAAACATATTATTAGTGTTAGTGAATAAAGTCGACTATTTATTTGATAAACAAACATAACCTTTCATATTTATTTTAATTTATGAAAGTTAGCTAGAATAGTTTGAGTACTTGTTTCACCAAAATAAATTTAAAAAAATTTTCATTTCTAACATGGAATAGAGAGATCTACCTATATTCTAAATTATCAATAATCTTTTATTAATTTTAAATGTTGGTGTTTAATTTTTAACATTTCAAACAAAAAAATATTTAAATTAAAACTTTCAATTAGTAAATATACTTTAAAATTCTAATTAATAAAGTTGTTGATGTCCTCAAATTAAATCGCAACTCGATCTTATTGTTAGAATTAAAGATAAAACATATATAATACCTAATTTTTATTAAAGATTTATAACTGTTTTAATATTATTATGCTTAATTTTTTATCCTATTTATAAGCATTTACAAAAAATTAAAGGTGTTAAATGGGGCATGTCATGTTGGTATAGCCCATTTAAATATTAGTCTATGTGTTAATTGATCGTATTGACCTATCATTATTTTTTAAAGGTTTGTATTGGCGTAACCTATGAAAGCTAAAATATGACCCAACATGAAATATGCCCCATAACCCATATAAGTTGTACTATGTTAAGCACGGCACTATTTTTATATCGAATCATGCCAAGCATGACCTATTGATGGTTTTTCAAAAAAATATTTTCATTTATTGTTGAAAATAACACGTTGGATAAATATAAGTAAAATAAAATAAAAAGTTGTATAATTTGCGTGGTTGGATAAAATGTTTATATTCATAAGGAAAATTAATAAAATTTATTAAATAAAAATATTGAAATTTACAAATCTAATATTTAAAAACACACAAAAAAATATTTTAAGACACAAGATTTTTATTATACTTCTCATTCTCATCATCCGATAATTCGTTTATGTAATTTACTTTGTCTTGTGCTTGGCCTTCTACATCTAACAAATCTTTAAGTAATATAAATATTTCGATGATATCAACTTTCATTTTGGTTTTAACAAAAATATCTTAGCTATTTTTAGTACTTCAAGATCAAGTGTTAATTTTTTTACCTTAATAGTTTATTTTTTGATGAACTTTTTTTAGTAATGTAGTTTTAAAGAATTTTTTTATAAAAAGTAACCTATGAATATAATTTATATTTAAAATGAATAGAAAGAATTATAAATTTATCTAACAACAATTTAAATATTTAATAAATAAATTTATTTAATATAATTTTATTTTTATAAATTATCAACAAAATACCAAAAGTAAATATAATTTAATCACAAGATAAATATATATATATATGAATATAACTCATTCAGGTTTATGTATTGTGTTGTATTAGCTTACATATCATTTGAACTTATGTATCGTACTATGCTAACTCATAAGCCATGTGCTGACATTAATGGGTTGCGCTATGCCAATTTATGGACTTAAAATCCTTTAGTCCATCATGGGGCACGAATTTGTACTGTGCTTGGCCTAACCTAATTACTTAACAATAAATCATGTCAAGTATAACTCACATCATGCTAATTCATGTCTTGCCGTGAATCGCTGAATCTATTTAACATATATACAAGAGATACCTTAATTTTTTTTTATCGAAACAACATCATTTTTATATTTATACAGGTAGAATTTTCTTAATATCTCTTTTAGTGCTTAATAAACATATAATAATAATTTATTTTCACCTATTAAAGTTATTAATTCACAATTAGATTCTTATTATTAGTGCCTAACAATAAAAGTTTAAATTCATTCCACTCATAATATTACTAATCAAATACTTTGAAATTTAATTTTTTTTATAATAATTATCTCCAATTGAGATTAAATTTATAACATAATAATAACTTGAAAAGCTAAAGTATCCAGATTTTTTATTTCACATATCATAATAATTATCAATATTTCACTATATTCAAATGTAATGAAAGATTGAAATGCTTACGTACTTTAAATTTTATTAAATAAATTAGTAATTTTTATAAATGACAAATTACTTTAAAAAATAAACTATTTAACATAATTTCAATAAATATTAAAATTTTCTTCAATATTAATTCATTTATAATATAATAATAAACCAAATTATTTTGTCAACAAAAATTTAAATGGTAAATGTATACTCTATTACATTTATAAACTATAAATATTAAAAAAGAAAAAACAATTAATCACTCAAATATCTTGAGCCCTGAAAGAAGAAAATTATCTAACTCCTTTTTTTTTTTCTTTTATTATTTCTCTCTCTCTATTAATTCTTACTTATCGTATATTTATAAAGATATCATGTATATATATTTTAATTTCAGTGGAGACAAACCTTTTTCTTTTTCTTTGCCAATATATGACCACGGCGGTCTATTGTTCCCTGGAAACCCCTTTCATATCTTCTTTTGGAACAACACTGCATTTCATGATATCCACCATCACCTTCATGGTAGCGAACACAACTTCTCACAACCATTTTTCGTTATGTAGGAAAGAATTATGGGAACCTACATGCCATATTCACTCAAGAAAAGAGCTGAAGGGGGCTTCGAAGCAGGCCTACAAGAGAGAGCGAGGATGATTGACAAGTAAATTTCAGTTTGAATTGTCATAAAGATAATGAGAATAAATGTTGATATTATTCTAAAATTACAACCCAAAAAAGGAATAGAACATAGCGATGCTAATTTGAATGATTTAATTTGTATGGTGATCTGCACTTTGATTAATTTAACTTGTTCTGATGTGAATGTGCTTTCAATTGTTTGCAAATTCATTGGCAAAAAACTTGGTGTGGACTGATGTGAGTTATTATTTTATGCTTGTGATGTGAGTTGTTATTTTATGCTTGGAGGCAACAAATTGGATGTTTGTTTTCTTTTACAATATGCCTAGCTTTTTACCCTCATTTTATCTTTCCTAATTTGATCGGTGTCCCCAGTTTTTAGTGGGACACTGTTATAGAATGATTATTGATTAGTAATTCCATCCTCCATTATTTTTTGTCCATGACTTTTTAATACTATAAATTATAAAAATCATATGCTATAAATGTATTAAAAAATAAGAATGGACATAAAAATAATGAAGGGGACTCAACTATGGGATGGCATTTTATTTTGATATAAATGACCCGATAAAAGAGAAAATAAATAAAAGAAAAAGAAAATTTTGAATTATGTGGTATTATATTTAGTATAACATGTATGATAAAAGTAGAAAAATAAAATAAAATAATTTTATTTTTTAGCTTCATGACTGGTTTTTTTTTTTTTTTTGCCATGTAATTTTAAAATTATTTTTGAATTGTAAAACAACTTTTAACAAACTGAATATTCTCTAATTGTTCTTATGATAATAAATTTATTTCAAAAATAAAAATATAATGATAAAATTATAACAATTAAAAAATTGTAATAAATTTAAACACTTAATATAAAAAAACAATAATAAATTTACGCCATATCCCATCATTTTAATTAATTCAAATCCCTTTTCCTTTATTATTATCCGAACCAGATATTGCCGGGATACATGGGCATTGCTTTTTATATTTTTTTTAATTCAGCAATCAATTATTTGCTGCAACCCACTGAAATTTAATATCGCTCATTATGGTCATTTACATATATAGATTCAATCATAACCGGCTTGTTGAGGGCCATCTTTCTGACGCCAATGTTGATGGAGCCTTGTCTTCTTTCATATCTTTGAAACTTTTCATATCTTCTTTTGGAACAATACTGCATTTCATGACATCCGCCGTCAGCTTCATGGTGGCAAATACAACTTGTTCATACCCCTCTCCATTTCTTTGGGATAGAATTATGGGAACCCTTATGCCTTACTCAATTAAGAAGAGATCAGCAGAAGGGGATTTCGAAGTACGACCTATAAAAGAGTTCAAAGGATGATTGATTAATTAGTTTTACAATGCACTCATTATCAACTTATTGGCTTTTCATTTGGAACAAGAAATAATTGGGAATGTAAATTTTGGTTTGATTGTCATATAAATAATGAGCATGAATGTTGGAATGTAACATTTAGACTTCAATTAAAAAGCCTCTACATCATATATTTTTAAAATGTGTATTAAGTATTATGCATTTATTCTTATGAAATCAATTTTCGATCTTTGACTTTATCTTACATTTTATTAAAATATTTAAAGAATTTTAAATTAAGTGCCCTTAGAGTAATCTTTAAAGACAGTTAAGTTGTTATTATTTATGATAATATTTTATATTAAATATAATAATTAATTTAATAAATTTCAATACATAAAAAATAGTAACTTAATTTGATATAATCTTCTTTTGGATATTTTCTTTTAGGATATCTGTTTTTCTAACAAGCTGGTCCATAGCCACGACGCTCTTGCTTTTTAATAAATGAACATATAGGGAGATAAAGTCCTTTCATAATTTGAGCCCAAAAAGCATTAGGAAATTATTGTTTAAAAATTTTAG